ACTGGTAGGTTAGCTTGCTGCTGGGGTCCACTGATCAGGACTGGGCGAGATGGGCCAGACATGCCCTGGAGCCCTCCTGCGGTCTCTCTCCGGCCCCAATCGTGTACCGGTGGGGTCCCTCAGCCTGGCCTGCGCCCTCTCGCAATCCAAGACCCCTCAGGGGATGTTGGAGAGCTGGTTTTGGCCTGATCCCGCAGACCAGGCCAAGGTACTCCACTGGTGCATGAATTCGTGCACCGGGCCTCTAGTGTTTATATAAATTTACAATATTTGGAAGGTTACAGAAGAAACTGGTAACTTGGGTTGACTACAGAGAAGGAAACTGGTGGACAGGGAACAGAGATAAGAAGAATTTTCACTATATGCCTTTAGTGCCTTTTGAATTTTGACTCATGTGAATGTATTACCTGTTCTTAAAAATAAATAAAACTTAAAAAAAGAGAAAGGCTCCAAAATGAACACCCCTAATCTACTCCTATCAACTGAGTTTTATTTGGGGTCTTAAAGAAAAAACAGTAGTGCATGGCTGGGTGGAGGGGAAAAGGAAGTACATTGTCAAGCAGGAAACATTATCAAGAAAGACTTCTGATAATAATAAAGAGAAGAAGTGGTAGAGCAAGTAAGGCAAGCTGTTAATAATTGGTGAATCTGGGCAAAGAATATAGTAGTTGTTTGAACTATTCATGTTCAAAATTCATGCAAATTGGTGAATCTGGGCAAAGAATATAGTAGTTGTTTGGACTATTCATGCAACTCTTATAGAAGTTCAAAATTATTTCAAAATACAAGTTTTAAGAATAAATGAAAATAACATTAAAAGGCAGGGGAGCTTATAGAAGAGATTATGTAAAACACATGTGTACACTGGTAGGGAAACCACTTAACTAGGTAGAGATTGCACATTCAGAAACAGAAATTAGTAAGACTGGACTGGTAAAAAGAGGCCAAAGTATATAGGGAGTTAAAAGTCACACTGAGGGATTTAGATTTGAACATAAGGGTAATGTGAGCTGCTGAAGGTTTTAGTGCATCAGAGTAACAAAGTGAAAGATATTTATCATAAGACTTGGATAACTGTGAAATCTGAGGGCTCAATGCTAGAGAGAACATGCAGATTTTCATCATTAGGGTATAGAGAGATTTGATGCTTGTACTGGACAGCACGTTTATTTTAACAGGGTTCTAGTTTTTTAAAAGCAATCTGTTCTAACTGCAGGATAAACTAATTTCTAGAATCCGCCGTAGAGTCCCACAATAATTTGTCATAATCCGTACATCCCTTTTCCTGTCCCCATTGTCAGTGAATAACAGGTAGCACTCACAAGCTGCCAGAAACAGGGAAAAGAATAAATGGGTCTTTGAACTTCAGTCCTGTACTTCAGGTCCACTGATTAACTCGCACAGCCAAGGAGAAACACAGCCTACCTTTCTAAGGAGTGAAGGAAGTTAGAGACGCTATTCCGCAGGCTCACATCAGCCACATGGAGAGCCCCACACACAACTCCCAACATGGTGTCAGGTCGCTCTGCCTGAAAGGAAGAAAAACAGGGCAGATAATAAAAAGCACAGTCACTTGGCACCATGGCCCCTCAACTTAAATAGGGCTCAAATTTCCTGTGAAGATACAGCCAGCATTGAGAATGGATGGAGTCCTTATTGCCAAATGATTTTTTGAGCTACAAACACATTTACTTTAGAATCTGAATAGAGGCCTCATTTGAATAGAGATGAGAAACAACTCTCCCTTCACTCTAAGATTTCTACTGAACCAATCAAAGAGCTGCTCAAAAACAAGCCTTTGTCAGAAATAAACTCAAAAAGGAATAGAGTTTTGGCTACTGATAATCTCAAAGAAAAATGATATATAACCAAAATTTGGACATTTAGATAACTTAATTGAATGTAATGATTTTAACAAAAATCTTGGGTAATTTAGAAGAGCCCTGAAATTCAGGAATAAGAAGTAACTGTTGCTTCACATGAGGCCCCTCTCATCAGCATCTGTTAAACAGATTTAAGAGTTGGTAACTCTAAGCCAGACTTAACATCAAATGAGGAAAGAGAAAGGATCTCAATCCCTATGTGCCTCTCTTCAAATATACCCCAGAAAGAAATATTAGAACATGTAAAATGACGGTGTAACATGGCACAAGAACTCTTACAGTGTTAATTACACTGACTCCTAGGTTTTTTCCAAGAACCATTTACATTAGAATCAGATAAATTTTATCTAGTGATATAGACTGATCACACCACAAGTCTATAAAAACCCAATCCTAGAAGCTGTTTGTGCAAATGGAGAAATACACACCTGTACTTTTTCTGCTATCAGTCTGTCCAGCCAGCCAGTGTCAATTCTATTCAACTGAAAGCTTTCGGTCTCCAACAATTTGATCAGGTATTCAACTGTAGTTCGAAAGTCACCCCGAATAGATAGCTCCTTCAAAGCCACCACCATGTTTCTGAGAGAACAAAAGCAGATCTGTTTCAGCAACAAATGTTTCAGTGTTGAAATTTCCATCATTTTAAAGAATTGTTTCATTCCTTTGGAGTCTTAGGGAGCAACTGAAAGCTTTCGGTCTCCAACAATTTGATCAGGTATTCAACTGTAGTTCGAAAGTCACCCCGAATAGATAGCTCCTTCAAAGCCACCACCATGTTTCTGAGAGAACAAAAGCAGATCTGTTTCAGCAACAAATGTTTCAGTGTTGAAATTTCCATCATTTTAAAGAATTGTTTCATTCCTTTGGAGTCTTAGAAGGGAAGGGAGAGGGACAGACAGCTCTAAGAACAAATGAGGGTGTAAATATAAGGGTGCTCATTCACATGCATTCCAGATGGGATGATTTTCAAGAAGTCAGTAAACTTATGAGTTCTGACTGATATTATCATAAGTGCATCCGCAAATCACATGCATTTCATTATATGGAGGACAAAACAAATTATGTGCAAACCATCCTCAGCTTTCACTTCCTAGGTTCCATTCATTTATTGATTGCTAACTAGAATCAGAGCATAATTTTTCTCTCCCTAACACCTTATTTTATTGAGGTATAATTTACATATTATAAAATATAGTTATTTTTAAGTATACTGTTCAATGAATTTTGACACATTCTCATACCTTAAAGATTTCCATACAATAAGCAACTGGCCAGATATAGTCAGGTATCAGCCTAACACTTCATGTGACAGTGGTGTGTTTTTTAAAGCTGCCTTTTAGATGTTTGTGAAATGACCACTCATTACTTTTATTACTTCCCAATCAAGTGTCAAATGATCTAATCTTAACAGGATTTCAAATACTCTGGGGTTTTTTTCATGTATATTTTTGCCCAGTGTCTGCCCTGCACAGAACAGGTCTTTACTTCAACAAATACTTATTATGCACCTCACAGACCCAAGGCACATACTAGGCTATTAAGGGAAAGAGAATATAGATACAGTAATTACTTTCAAAATATATGGCAGAATATCATCAGAGAGAGATATAAGCAAAGTGCTGGAGGAGTTCTAAGGAGGGACAATACCCACCTTCCTATGATTTCAAGAAGAATGTGGAATCTGACGTGGAATGAAAGTATACCTGGGAATATGACTGTGATAGGAATATTATTCCGGTGGTCCAGGCAATCCCTCAGCTTAGAACATTAGTTAGTTTCCCATCTCTGCCTTCCTCTCTATGTCCTCTTTTGGCCTAGCTTATTCCTATATACTTTTCATATATTAGTCTAGATGCCATTTCCTTCTGAGAAACCTTCCCTGACCCTCTCTAGACTGAGTTAAGCTGACTTAGCTGTATGTTCCTGTAACACCATTATGTAATCCCACTATCATAAGATAACAACTTATTACATTGTGTTTAACTGTTTATTTGCCTCTCACCCTCTGGATTCCCAAGCTCCATGAAGGCAGAGACCCTATTTTGGTCCTTGTTGTATTGCCATATATTCAGCAAATATTTTTTTGAATGGAGTGAATGAATAAATAGACAGAATATCAAGAACAAAGGGAAAGAAGGAAGAAAATATGAGTTGTGTTCATTATGATTGAAGCAAAGGGTATGAGGACAGGAACTAGTGGCAAATCCATCCATTTAATAAACATTTACTGAACACTTACTATGTTCAGAGGATACAGCAGCAACAAACAGACATGGTCCTGTTCTCATGGTATTTAGATTACGATGTATGGGAAATAATGCTGGAAATATAGGTTGGGGCTATTCTAGAGAACAAGAATATTATGAATGTTATGAGTAAGAAAAGATATAAATAAGAAAGAAACAAACTCTGAGCTGAGGGATGAACTTTTGGCATGAAGTCAAGAAGCAAGCTTATTGTAAAGACCATATTTTTAGTATGCTAAAAGTTAACCTAGTTAACTTACACCTCCTTAGAGAAATACTAGAGGCATGATGCACGAAATTCGTGCATGGGTAGGGTCCCTAGGCTTGGCCGGCAATCAGGGCTGATCTGTGGGGCGACCAGCAGGGCAATCAGAGGCCCCAGCCTGGGGCCTGCAGGCTGGGGGCAACTCCTGCATTGAGCATCTGCCCCCTGGTGGTCATTGTGCATCATGGCAACCGGTTGTTCCACCAGATATTCTACGGGTTGTTCTGCCATTCGGTCGATTTGCATATTAGGCTTTTATTATATAGGATACAGAGCAAGTCAGGAAGTAAAGAGCAAGGCTTCTGGACCAAGTGATAGGACATGTCCTATAGAAAATACTTAGCAGTCTGCCTAAACAGGACTATAAACCTAAATACCAACAGAGGGATGTCTCATTTATTCTGAGAATGTAAATGAGAAGGCAGACTGTGTGCACTAGAGAATTCATGTTTCCTCTAAAAGAAAAAGCCACACAGAGGTTTAGTTAACTTTTGCCAAGTGGAACATAAAACCTATGTTGTCGTTACCATCCCATTTTTAAAGAGAAGGCAGAAATCCATATATTTAATCTATCAATTTTTAAATACTGGCATTTTTTAATACATTAGCACCCTGTAAGCCAATCAAACACATGTGTGGCTATGACTATTTGGAAGGCTGCCATGTGTTTGATTGAATTACAATTTGCAAACTCTAGCATAAACCTTCTTCACTTTGGTAAAGCAAGAGATGACTGTAATAAAAAGGGGGAGGGGGGATGGCAACTTTATACCAAATATTTTTTCTGGTAGCATTGCTTTAATTTGGAAAAACTCTATTTAAAGTTTTAATTTCCCCCCAACCGTTCAGGAAGCCATTTTATTTATTTTATTTTATTTTATTTTTACTGTTAATCCTCACCAGAGGATATTGAATTTTAGAGAGTGGAAGGGAAAGAGGGAGGAAGAGAGAAAGAGGGAGAGAGAGAGAGAGAGAGAGAGAGAGAGGGAGAGAATCATCGATGTGAGAGAGACACATCAATTTGATGCCTCCCACATGTGCCCGACTGGGGCCAGGGATCAAAGCGCAACCCAGGTATATGACCTTGACCAGGAATCGAACCCATGACTCTTAGGTGCATGGGTCAATGACACACTATCCACTGGGCCACACCAACCAGGGCTGCAAGTCTTTATTGTTGACACTATTACAGATGTCGCTCATTTTCTCCCGCTTTGACCCTTCCACCCAAGCCCTCGCTCCCTCTCTACTTATAGTTTGGAATAAATGGGGAGAATCATAGAGGACAAAATAGAGAAAAACTGAGACTTCCCTACTTCCAAAAACACTATTAAAAACCAACATTATTAATATTTATTGACTACTGGTTTATGTATACAGTCCAAAGATCAAAGGAATGGTATTAAATGCTTGATATAAGGAAATAGACAAAAAATAAAATTAGTTCAATTTTAGATAAATATTCTAAAATATCTAAACTGTCAAAATTACCTCCTAGAGCCCTATTTTTAGGCAAGCAATATTGCTAATTTAATATTTGATGTTTATGTCTAATATAATATTAACCAATAACCCTTACAATATACCAGTTACCTTTGGATAAGCTGTGTGTACTAGTATATTTCATAGCAGAATGAGGTCTCTTCTATAAGCAATGGGGACAGTTGCCTTATGTCCTTTGCATGTAACAAGCAGTTTATTATTTTAAATGACTATGGGACATTTACAGCTACAGCTTTAGTTTGATGACTAATAACAGGTCTTTCTATGATTTATAGAATGTCAAATTCTTGGTCAAGAATCTACCTCCCTACAGCAACATGGGAAAATGATATGTTTAAAGCAATCAACTTTATAAGTTTATCAAAAATATTTGAGCCCAGGTGGTGTGGCTCAGTGGTTGACCAAGAGGTCATGGGTTTGATTCCCAGTCAGGGTACATGCCCGGGTTGCGGGCTCAATCCCCAGTATGGAGCGTGTAGGAGGCAGCTGATTGATGATGTTTCTCTCTCATGGATGTTTCTATCTCTCCCTCTCCCTTCCTCTTTCTCTAAATTGAATAAAAACAAATAATAAAATAAAATAATAAAATTAAATAAATAAATAAAATAATAAAATAAAAATATATATACTTGAAAGCAAAAATACTTAAAAAGGCTTGAACAACAAACTGAAAAACATCTGTCAAACACTGCATATTTTAACACACATGAATACAAGTATAATTGAAAATATTCTTAAAAAGGTTGTCCATATTAATACTTTTATAGCAGTTAAATGGTTCCTTGCCTATACTCACACCTTCACTGAAGATTAGCACAGATTTAGTTTTTTTAAATGCAATCAAATGCTATTGTACTCACGAAATTGCTTCCTCTCTGTTTTCTCCCCAGGAAAAGCAGTGACCAAACTGAGAATCAGCAAATTCATGAAGTCCCCCTGCAGCAGCAACACTGAAATAACCCCATACATTCTTATTGCTGCGGAAATTCAGTTCCTGAACTGTTCCTGAGCTGGGCTTAAAACCCTGTTAGAGAATGAAGAATGTGAGAGACCATGTTATATTTCCAAGGAAGAGGACATTTATATATTTACTGTTTAGGCTCCATGGTAATTGCACATAAAAGCAGAAATTATGCACAAAAATCATAAAGGCTTGAGAGCCAACGTCCAATGCTACTGAGGACTCTATAGTGACTATAGTAGGATGAAATGACCAGGGGAGCAGTGATCACTTCTTTGTCTGCTCTGATTAAACCTCTATAAATTCCCCCCTCCAGAGGAAGTCCCAAATATTTCAGAAGCATAGCCCTCAGGTACCATCTTCAATATTCAAGTTCACAGGGGGAAAAGTGTAAATCTTTTAAGTGATAGGTTACCTCATCTGGATTTTCACTAGTGATCCGAGCAGCAATAACGTGGCCTCTTGGGCAAGGAACATGAGCAGAATTTTCAAAATCAATGGGAGCATCACCCCAGGGAGATACCCCATACATCATACGAATATCCTTGATTCTGTACAGAGGGATCCCCATGGCAATCTGAAAGGTAATAAAACACATATCACTCATTTTTCACAGTTACTTTCCTTAAAATGTGGAGGCTATAGATTACTTGTAAGATTTTTCATTTTAGTAACCACCACCTAAAACATTCTATTTTTATAACCTGTATTCTAAAATCAACAAAGAAGAAACTCTAAGTTACTTAAAACAAAATGTCACTACAGACGTTGCTAAATACTCTCCACTTCTACTAAAAAAAGTCCCCAAGTTCCTAACGCAATAGACATGAGTTTCTATTATTTCTCCATCAATGGATTAGAATAAAAATATCCAAAGGAAGTGTCAATATCAGTGGCTATCCAAGTTTATACAGCTAAAAAGTCCATCTCATAATTATCCCCATAAACCATTGTAAGAAATAAATAAATAAATAAATAGATCGATCAATCAATCTTTAGTCCTTAATGGGAACTCAGAAGGGGTTTCCAATATGGGCAAAGAATATGTTAGATACAAATACTATCAAACTTCATCATTAGCTATTACTGCTTCCCATAACATTTGTTTTCTGGGCTGAATGGATAAAATAATACTGACAGCTAGCACTTTAAACATTATAAAAACAAATGGGTGCTGCCACACCGTTGCCCAGAAAACCCCCGACCACCACTCTGATGTGGAACTGCTTCAATACAGAACACTAGTAAAAGGAGTAGAGGCCAATTACAAAGTTGTAAAGTTTTCTATAATTAAAACAAGTAAAGCATTTTTTTTAAGTTTCTTTCTAAAATGACAGTTTTTACCAGATGTGTCTGGCTAGAAAATATAAGGTGCTCTACCTCCAGGGAGCACACTCGTGCCATTACCTTTCCCCCACCACCCCCACCGGCACGTATCTAAAAAAATAAAGTACAATAATATTCCTAGATTTGTACCACATGAGGAAAACCAACCCACACATCACAACCCATATAGCATGAACATTAGATGAGACTCGGTTAGGAGGCACTCTTCTCTTATCAGACACAGGCTAAACCAGTTTTTCAGGCATCTGACATTTTTTAGGCAACTCTTGGAGCCACGATCAGGGTGACTCACCTGGAGCTGTGCTGCAGGGAGATTGACATCAGCCACCATCTCTGTACAAGGGTGCTCCACCTGTAGCCGAGGGTTTAGTTCCAGAAAGTAGAAGCTGCCATCCTGGCTGTAGAGGTATTCCACAGTCCCCGCACTCACATAGCCAACCATTTTGGCAAGTTTCACCGCACACTCAAAGAAGAAAGATGGGAAGACATGAGTACCTCATCTTGTCCAGTTGGTGGACTACTGCTTATCTATATAGCCTCTCCCTGACTCAAATATCTAGTGTTTATAAGAGCCATCAAAGGCTTTTAGACACATTAGAGCAGCGGTCATCAACCTTTCGGACCTCACGGACCACCGGTTGGCGACCGCTGCATTAGAGTGAATTTCAACCTCTGGTTATTACAGAAAATCCTGGACATGGATGACAAACTCAATTCAAAGTTGAAGGAAAACAGTGTTTTTCATCATTTGGGATCACAGGCAACCTCACCCTATAGATACATGCAGGAAAAACAACAGTGTGGCAGATTTTTCACCATGCCCTGGTTTTTAGTATTCCTAACATTCTTCCTAAAACATGGTTGCCCAGCTATAGACTAGGTTTCTCAACCTCTCTTACACTTAGTGACTAAGTTTTGACCAAAGTAATGTCAGCCTTGGTGAGTGATATACCTAATTCCTGAATCATGTTTTAAAAAGGAAGTGCTTGTTCTCTATTCTGGCTGTTCCACTTCCATGGACTGAAACATTGTCATGACAGTACATGAGCTCACCTCAACTTATGATGGAAAGAAAAAAATAAACTTCTAACTTATCTGGGTTGCATATTTTGGATCTCTTTATTACAACAGCTTAACCTGCACCCTAATTACTACAGAAATGATTACATACAGGTAGAATCCTGCTATTTAAAAATATTAAAATGTGTTGTTGGCTTAGCAACAACACATAGGGTAATGGGTAGCTAGAGCACAGATATTTCAGACTGAAAGCTGGTGGCCTCCTGGTTAGGCATAACAAAACATTTGGTAAGTGGTGTCCTACAATAAATTCCAAGGTGGACAACACCCCAACTAAGCCCTAAGAAAAATAGGAAGTCAGAATGTGAAAAATTCAACTACTTTTGTATCCCCAAACCAGAAAATTAGATTTTCACCCTAAAGCGCCAGTGTCAAAGTTCAAATAATAAAATAAAATAAAATAAAACAACAACAAAAATAATAAAATAAATAAATAAAAGAGAAAAAGTTACTGAATCTAAAAATTTTGGGTGTGGTTACTCCTACCTGAAGCTGGCTGGAAGAGAATAGTCCAGAAACATACTAAGTTTTAAAGGGATTGTAATTCTAAACAAACCACAAACCTGGCCTTCAAGAACCTGTGACTGATAATTGGAATAAACTTTGTGGCCCCAATCCTGCCCCAGCAGGAAGTGAGCCATGAAAGCTCTGCCAAAGGAAGTACAGTCTCCAAAGCCCAGTCACAGAGAAAACAACACAAGGAATAACTTTCCAGAGAACAAAGCCAGGTGCCTTAAGGGAGGACAGCCAAGGGATTTGCTTTGAGACCAGAGCCAGGAGCATCCAGAGAGCTAAAGAGGTATTATTACTCCACTACATGGCAGGAATTCATCAGAATTCCTGCCTAGAAGGATCTGATAACTGCTATGGATCAATGATTACTATATATTTTCACTCCTCTTTTTTCCAAATGGGAGTTTATCCTGTTTCTATTCCACCATTGTATATTGGGTACATGGCAAAAAGCCACTTGTACATTTAATGGAGAGTTTCAGAGAGCTTGGACTTTGAGCTGTCTTCTTTGGGGAAAAGGCTAAGTATGTTCTAAAAATGAGAAAAAGGGTATGAAAGGATAATGGGTAGCCAGAGGATCAGACTGAGGCACAGATTATTAACTGCCCTCCAGTAATTTTCTCCCTCATCCATTTAAGTAATAAAATCTCCTAAATTGCAACTAGGAATATGGCCACCCAGTTGATGACTACAATTCCTAACATCCCTTATAGCTATGTGTGATTGTATAACTGAATTTTGTACAATGGAATGTGAGCAGAAGTAATTGGTGGGACTTCTAGATCATATTTTTATATGCTTGCCCTCCGTTGTCTTCTTCCCTCCTCCCCAGGCTACAATGTTGGACATACTCTTGTGAGCTAGCTTAATCATGAAGATGATGACACCCTAGGGCAAGGGTGGGCAAACTTTTTTGGGAAAAGGTCAGATAACAATTATTTTCAGCTTTGTGGGCCATATAGTCTCTGTCACAACTACTCAACTCCGTCACTGCAGTGATAAAGCAACCTAGATAATACATAAATTAGTATGGCTGTATTCCAATAAAATTTTCCTTGCAAAAGCAGGTGGCAGGTTGGATTTGTCTTGCGAACTGTAGTTTGCTGATCCCTCTCCTAGTGAATGGCAGAGCAATAAACCTAGGTCTCTGGCACCAGCTCATCTAGAACTAAGATGACAAAGAAATAGAACTTATACCTTGTTTAAGCCACAGTATTTTGAGATCCTCTTACACCAGTTAAATAATGTGTCTTAACATGTGCATGCATACATATACATACACACACACACACACACACACACACATACGGATAAACTTTCATATATTTAGCTTGTTTGGAATTCAGGAGAAAAAAGATAAAAATATATCTCCAATAAGATGAAGATTGAGTTCCAGTTCCAGAAATTAGACCCCTAAACTATAACTATTCCCAAGGGACCCTGCAATACTGCTGAGAGATTCTTTTCTATACAAAAATATAGAATATATAAACTTTAAAGATACTTAGAGGACCTTTAAAGAAAAAATGAATTTGAATAAACTTGTCTCAGGAATCAACAATAATCAGTTGAAAAAAGGGACTGCTTATCATGAGCTTGTTAAAAAAATCAAATGATAAGATTAAAAATCCCAAAACATTTCTCTTCTTTATTCCTACTCAAAATAGTACACAGATTTTTTTCCAAAAGGGTTAACTAACTTAGAGCTTGAAATGTTCATTGGCAGCTTTCCTAGAGGAAGACAGAAGAATTATTTTTATTGGGAAAAAATATTATCTTATCAATTATCCAGAACCCATGCAAGAAATTCTACTATTCTCAGATTGATATACGAATTGAATGAGTATAGTTCTGTGTGAGAAAACACAAATTAGACTTTTTCACATTAATACCTGTTCCATATGTTCGAATACTGCTGGAGTAGCAATAGCAGCAGGTGCCTCTTCAATAATCTTCTGATGCCTACGCTGTACAGAGCAATCACGACCAAACAAAGAGATAGCATTGCCATACTGATCTGCTAATATCTGCACCTCCAGATGACGAGATTGTTTGGCTAGTCTCATCACAAATATAGGAGATCCGGGGACTTCAGCTTGAACCTGTATTAGAAAAGAAAATAAAACAATTTTTTAGTGGTGATCATTTTTTTTCTATCCTGATAAATTGCTTCAGTTTCAAAGGCAGATGCCTAGAAGTGTCAGGGACCACATTAATCAGTAGGGAAACAAAAATAAATAAAGTTTGTGTCCTCATCTTTTCAAGAGCCTGCATTCTTAGTTATATGATCAACTAGAGGCCTGGTGCACGAATTTGTGCATGGGTGGGGTCCAGAGGCCCAGCAGGGGGTGGAGGGATGCGGGAGGTTGGCCAGCAGCCCCGCCCCCTATTGGGGTGGGAGGGCCCAATTGGGGGAAGGGCCGCCCGGGGAAGAGGCCACAGGCCAGCCCCGCCCCCTGGTCAAACTCCCAGTGGGTCAAAATCCCGCCCGAGGGGACAATTTACATATTAGCCTTTTATTATATAGCAGGGGTGGGCAACCTTTTTGTGAGTGCATGCCAAAACCAGCAAAATCTCTGACTCAAAATTCTTCTGCATGCCAACCCTAATTTTTTGAGAACATGTTACGCCTACTTGATATCTCTTAAGGTGTACGTATGTGAAGAACCTTGAAGAAATAATAAAATTCATTCGAGCGACAAAAACACAGTATATGATGATGAAAAATACATTTATTTTTTAATGTATACATGTACACTGATAGTCCGACAGAAAACTTTATGACTCCGTTTGATATTATCAGTGGGACTTTTGCTGCTGCATCACTGATGACAGAGATTTTACATCAGGTTTATATTTCGTGACCTTCAGAGATATGCACGAGCTACTACTTTCATCCGTCAGGCTACTCCTATTATGAGACTTAACAAAATTCATCACTGAGAACAAAGATTCACAAGCGTATGTGGATGAAACCAAAACACTGGTCGGATCTAGGAAGGCAGGGAGAGTTAAGGCAGAGGCATAGAAATTGCTCTTCCCCTCTCTCGTCAATCCATGTCTATGGTCTTTAAGATAACTTGTTATGTAAAATTATTTATTTATCTAAGATGCACCTACACTGAATTTATCTGAAAAATAAAAAAGTCGATATTAAGAAAAAAATTGTAAATGGAAGATAAGAGAGGGTTTCGCGTGCCAGCAAAAGTTACTGGCGTGCCATGTTTGGCACGCGTGCCAGGGGTTTCCCACCCCTGTTATATAGGATATTAATTGATAAATATGAAAACATATGAGCACCCAGTGTATTACAAGGGTAAAGAACAAAATATTTTGAAAACACACACAAAAATTCCACAAAAGGGCAAAGTACTACCATTAATTCCAAACAGCTAAACGTACAACTTGCTCCAGATTAGATGCTCTCTGGTTCACATTATAGAATATACAGTATTGTTGTAGTCAAAGACCTGTCATCTGCAATTTTGAAGCATACTGTCACTGGATACAGAATTCTATACTGGCAATTATTTTCTTTCAATATTTTAAAGACATCCCAATATTTTCTGGCTTCTACTATTTCTACTGAGATGTCTGGTATCAATCTTATTGTTACTCCTTTGAAACTAATCTTTTTTTTCCAGCTGCTTTAAGATTTTTTTTCATTCTCTCTTTTTAGTGGAATGAAGTGGCAGATTTGCTCAGATAAGCTTAAATGTAATTTTCTCTGTAATTGTCCTACAGGTCTCATAGTGTTTACTGAATCTGTGCTTAGTATCTTGTAATACTATCAACAATAAAAAATAAAAATAAGATATATATTTTTAATTAACATGCTTTTTCTTTTACTTCTAAGAGCAAAAGGCCTTTTCTTTAGACTCCATAAGGCACTGAAATACCTATGAAATTGGAATTATTATAGAAGGCATGTAAAGAAAAAGACAAGTAATATTCAAATTCTGACATTCAAAATAAGGTAATGTAGCAAAATACCTTTATCACCTTCTTTACTGAGTATATTAAATCGTGGGAGTCCCACTTCATAGATTTTTTCTCTCTAGCCCATGATAAGAAAGCAATAAATTTGTTACTGAATGACTTTTTTTAAAAAAATAAAGAAGGAAAAATAAAAGGTGGCCAGGGAAAAATAAGAAAAAGTGGAGAGCTAGCAGAGTGGAAAGGCCAGAATGTGTCCCAATTTGCCTTTTCATGACACCTCTTTCTGGGTATTGATAGGAGAAAAAAGAGTGAATCAATTATGTGAGGGTACCTCTGAGGACAGGGAAAAAGAGACTCCTATCTCCCAATTCTCTAAGGTTCTGAAAAGAGAACATATCTTTGGCTTTCACAACCAACCTGTAGTTTTGCCACATCAAATTAGCTAATCAGATGGGTAGTCAGAAAGAGACCCTAGGTTAGCTTTTCTGAGCCATTCTCAGTTCTCACAGAACATGAGCCTGCCATAAGGTTCCTGTGCCCTGGTACAATGGCCATGCAGCACAGGCTAGGATATAGACTGCTGGGCCAGCAGGGTAGAAACTCAGGAACCCACAGTCACTTCAAATTAAAGTCAATCAGAGAGTCTGGGCCTGACCAAGCCCAGAGCATCCCGATCAGGAGTTAACCACACTATATACATTGTAACACCAGAAGAAGAGGAACACAAACATATAGAAAGGCATGGACTCTTCCTTTTCACAGAAAGTTCTATGAGCCACCATACAGGGAAAAGCTATCTGAAAAACTGATGCCTTTTATATAAGAGAGAATAACTCTATTTTGGGGACTTACAAATTCTAGCATGAGTTAAATCACATATCA